CTGGTGCAGATAGCGCAGTGTTGCGTTTGGCCGCATTTTCAAAGGTATAAGATTGTGGCAATTAAGTGTGGCGCGTGTAGAGATATTTCAAGAGTATTATCTGCTTTTCTTATGATTCAGAATTACTGATTTAAATAATATTTTTTAAAATTGTATTAGATGTTTAACTTAAAACCAAATTGTAAATGATTTACTTATCCTTAATTACTTTAAAAGCAGAAAAAAAGTTGAAAACCATTTAAGTTTTAAATTGATCATTTCCTTATTGTTGTTTTAGTTGTTTTTTTCACATAGATAACTATACATTTGAGGGTCTGCGTGCATACTGCCCTAACCCACAAAATCTTTAAATGTGAGTAACTTTCGATCACTTCTCATGTGCTTCACGTTATGAATAGCTTGTAGCAAACCTTCAGATGGGTCAAGAAAAAAAGACATTCTGTTATCCAAAAAAACCTCTTACTGTTAAAAACAACTTATTTCACAAAAAACTTACAACAATAGTAGACAGTTTTTTGAAATATTAAATTCTATTTAATAGTTGTCCGGTTCCTTTTCCCAAACTTAAATGGTATTTTACAATATACACAAATAAAAAAGGTTAACATATTAAAATTAGTAAGATTAAATTTCCGTTTTTATGGGTGTTTTTTTACAATATTAATTTTTTTCTTAAGTGAGTATCAATAAAATTCCATTTTTATTAATGCTTAATCTTCTCTAAGATGTTATACTTTGGGCATTAGCTAAACATTTTACTCCAAATCTAGAATTACAAATATGCTTGAAGATTTTATCGTGTTTTTTCCTGAAAACAAGCTCAGTGTGGTTGTATTGTTTCCTAAATTTGCTATTATCTTAAATGAAATGCTAGATAAAAATAATATATCATCTAAGTCCATTAGTAAATAATACTACAAAGTGTTATATGTTTCATTTCATAAGCAGCTCATTTTAATGTATATACATTGTATTGTTTTTCTCAAAATTCTTCAAATTATGTGAAAAAAGTTTAAAGAAAATATGATATTCGTTGTATTAACTATGTTAATTGATTTTAAGGTCTTATCCTTATAACTTAGATATTTGTAATATTTGAAAAAAATAACTAAATCAATGATTTTTTAAAAAGTTTATCCATTTTTATAAATCATTGAAATCATACCAGCCCTATTTGGTGACTTTATAGCCTGAAAATAAATTGTAATTTTGATACATATCAATCATTGTTATTTTGGGTAAGTCTTTCAAAAACCAAGAAAATGAAAACAAATTATAAATTATTACTAGTTTTTATGTTTGAAATTGATCCGTCTTGTAGTTAGTAATAGACATACGTTAAATATGCTTAGTGTTCTGGATTAAAAAGAGGAATTTGCATGGTTTTACAAAAAAATTCTTATGAAATGAAATTTGTGGAAGATTAAACAATTTTAATTTGGCCAGTTTCTCCCTAGTTTTAAGGCCAATCTTAACTTTAAAATTAAATAACTGGCCACAGGTTTCTTCTGTTTAGGCGCAATACAAGATTTTTTTTATTTTCTATAGCTACCTGATTGGATTACTTGCACATCATGGACAATATTTCACACAAAGTCACACACAAACTATCCTCATTGAAACCTACAATGGGCAGAACAATACTGAATTGTTACCGAATACCAGAATTTTGACGATATAAGTAGAAAAGAATTGGATTAGATTTCTATAATTATCAGATAATATTATACAGGATTTATTGCTTCAGATGTTTCATTTAGCAATTCAAATTTGGCTACATTTAATTAAAATAACCTATAATTATTTAACCTGTTTCTTAGCACTGAAGTATGTGAAATATCCAAAAAAGATTATACCTATCTTAATTATTTTTAAAAATAAACGGTTTAAGATATTTGGGTATATTATTTATTACACACAGTTTTTTTATTACACATTTCGAAAACTTTAAAAGTTTTTTAAGTTCACATCAAAATTGTTTTTGATTATTTATTAATATATTTCCAGTGCTGTTAGGAAAGTTTTTCTAAACAAGGCAAATTATTATCAAATATATATTGCTGAAATAATATATTTGTCTATTAATATCGAAGACTAGCAGCACTGCAGCATCAAGGAAAAAAAAGATTTCACTGGCACACTTGTAAATAAGATTTCTTGATAATGTTCTTTGAGAAAAGACATAACAGGGCTGGCTTTAGGAAACACTGTTGATAATAATTCCATCTTTCTAATGTTAGTGAAAGTCGAAATTCGTTTGTATTCTTGCCAGTTGTTCATACTGCAACCTCGGAGATCACTTCCCAGAATGGAACATAACTCGTCACCTAAGCAAATAAACTTTAATTACATTTGCATATACATAATGAGAGTTGTACCTATTCTAGAAAGGCAAACCAATAATGAATTATGTATATTTGAAAATTAGACATTTGCAATACCAGCGGTATTTTGCAAACAATGAATATAATGGATATACAATGAACATATTACAAAGTCCGGGTGAGTGAGGAAACAAACTTAGTCCCCCGCCTTTTAACATTGAGTGAACCGGCCCTGTGTGTGTGCGCAGAAGATCGATAGTCCTGACGGTATGGCGTGCAAAAACTCCCAAATAAGAAATAAACGTACACATTCCGAAATACGATTACTTCCAAACATTCATAAATATCCGCTAAATTCTCGTAAGTAGTCGTGTATTTTTATAACTTTCTATTATGGACAAAAAGAAAAGTTCCCTTGTTAGTAGTTTCAAAGACACTACGTCTGTAGGGTATTTCTTTAAGTATTTCGGTATCGTTGGCATCACTTGTGATGCTCAAAGCGGAAATTACAAAAGCACCCCAGCGATCACAGAAGGTCACTTGCGCATTTACCCGTACAATTTGCGAAGTGGGAAGGCTTTCCACTTGAACATCACGTTATTTTTTGAAGTTGTATGAGTGGTGTTATTCTTCATTTGCTGTGCGGAAGAGTTGGACATACATTTACCACCAAATCCATGCGTTTTTGGGAATCGATTAAAACTTATATAATAGTTTTTAATAAGTTAAATTATACGTTGTGTATTTTAAACCGAATACAATAGACTTTGTACCAGTTTTTTTTAATCGAAAGTAAACGAGATGGATAGGATTCAAACTCCCTTCGATTCGGTGCAGAAGACACCTTCGTAAGTTGTGCTAAATGCCTATGAATATCTCTGTTAATATAATTGCAGTTGGTGTCGTCAACTTTCTTGCTTATGACAAGGCTGTCATTACCATTGCTGGTTTTCTTTTTCACAGCTAGCAATTATAGATAAACCATTTATTTTGGAATAAAATTATGAATGTATGATTCTTAGGTTCTGATAGTAGGCTTAAGTAGTGAAAAATTGTAGCTTATTGGTATCCTTAATTGTATTCTTTCTCAGGTATGAAGAGAGTCATTTTCTGATGCATGTTATGAACAGTTTTTTAAAGAATTGGATTTTCAATTCATAGAATTGATTGCAAGTGTCTACAACACTATAAAGTGCTTTTTAAAAAATGACATGAAAATTGTCTTTACTCGCTCATTGTACAACTGGACATTTTTCCTGGATAACAATTATTTTATTTAGGTATCGTTCTGTTACTTATAAAACAAAGGTGGGATCTCTTGGAAAGGGCAAGCTACTGAAAATGAAGAAATTAGCTGAAAAAGAGAAAAATTCTGAGGAACTCAACAACCTGTATCTTGAATCATCACATAAAAAAAATAGATTAGAAGAAAAAAACACCTTTGAAAGAAAACACATTTTACCATCTTCAAAAGTCTTGAATATTCGTACTAAGAGGCAACAATATAAAGCTAATGCTCCATCAGAAATTTTTGTTTATGAAGGTAAGAGTCAGGACCAGTTAAGTATCTTAAGGGACCTCCTATTCATATTGAAATATTGAATACACCTATTGAAATTTAATTAGAAAATAAGCTAAACCTTATGCAATTAAAGAAGTAATATTAAAATATTTGAAATATTTTCGAACAAAAAAATTTTTTTAAAAAAATTCTTGGAAGACCCTATAGGCATATAGCATAAGGCCTTTAACATGAGGTTGGTTTGCTTATGTTATGATATACCCATGGTAAATATAATTAAAATTGGAAATTAGAATAGACTACTATCATTCATAAGCAACGATACTAATAAAAAATACACTTGAGAAGAATGTTGCTGAAAAGTTTTTCTAGAAGACTTAAGCAAAGGATCTGATTTTTTTTTAAATTTTTTGTTTCATATTTTGTTAATACTTGTAATAAAAAGAAATATAAAGTAAAAATGAATCATTCAAAAAATGATGAGAATTTCATCTTTTTTCTTACTATGCAGGAGGATTTTCAGAAAGTTGGTGTTTTTTTAATCTGATTCTTGAAAGTACATTTTAACATATTTATTAGGCCCAGTTAGTAGTGGATGGAAAATTAGTTTTCGTAATTGAATTTTGGATGTGAAATTGTAGATGTCACTTTTATTTCGTGTGCAGTAGTTACATACCTTCTGTATGTTTCTATGTGCTTAACACATTCTTCATTCTGATTTAGTTCAGAAGAATGAAAAAACGTTATTTTAGATAAGATGTAACCATCCTGTTATTTTGAATTTTTTTGTTTTACAACTTTTCTGTGTGAATTTCCTGTAGTATCCTGAATTTTGTCTCATGTTTTTTATTGAAACAAGTAGTAAGTCTTCTAGGAAAGGTGATTTTCTACTGCATATTTTGTGATTGCCATAATCTGAACCACATTTGTTTCAACTAATGGCTTATAGCAACACAAATGTTTATAAATAGAATCACACAAAACTCTTTCTTCTGTGCACATTGAAAATTGGTAATATAGATAGCACAAATATTTTGGCAAATACTTTGGCACACATGCAATACCTAATAGTCCTACTTTATAAAAAATAATACAATATTGGTACATTATTGTACAATCTGTTGCCAGCTAACATCAATCTTTTTTGCTGCAAGTTTTTTGTATAGTTAGATTGTAGTGAGAGTCAAAAAAGAAAATAAAAGAATAATAATACACTAATATATTAGGAAATTTTTGTATACGTAATTCTATGTCTAAATATGTCTGTACCAAGTATTATAAACAGCTTCTTGGATCACTGACCTATTGATTCGTGTATGTGCACATGTTTAAATATTCCCTTTGAACTCTAATGTTCCTCTCTCAGTAACATCATATAGTTAGTATTGTTTATGACTTTAAACAAATAAATTAAAGAAATGGAGGGAATGCACTAAGTGTAATTCTTGGTTGTGGACAAACCCTCTAAAATTCCTTCCAGTTTGCCATCATTGAATTCAGAAAATAAAAGTAAGTATAATAGCAAATAAACATAGAAACAAATTAAAGAAGATTGTGAATTTAATAAAGTATTAGACAATTATATTGTATGTCGTTCAAAAAATTTCAGTTTTATGAGAAACATTTTTTAATATTATTACATTATAACATATGAAGCCAGTGACACTCACTCTCCTCTAAAATAGATGTCTATATCCATTCCTAGTGAATAAATTGTCAGTACTTTTATCTCTGATGAGAAAATCATTAAATGTACTTCGTGGAAGTTGTGGTATTAATGTGATCAAACTGTTAAAAAAAGAAGACTGGAATGGAAAAGAAAAACAGATGATAGGAAGGGATTAAAAGTAAAAAGAAGCATAAACATTAAAAGAATAATGGAAGAAATATGACTACTAATACTTTTTTATACCCTTATAAATATATAATTTCCATTCACACCTTGATGAATATTCATTAACTGATGCTTATAATCTATTTTCCCTCATCTACTTCTGTTACTTCTGCAGGTATGTTTATTGGAATACTAAAAAGTTTCGATGAAAGTTACTGGAAATAGTATAATTGCGTTTCTTTTGTTTCACGTTGGTTCCATTATTACACAAAATGCATTTGTAATTACAAAATATAATTTCACAGAAGTATTTTTATATATAGTAAATCATGTAGACTGTATTAAGATTCACTGTAAAGAAATATCGTAAACAGGTATAGACGTATTGCAATTGAGATAATGAATTATTAAATTAACTTGAACATATGATTGCATGTTTAATTTTAAATGTCAACAGGTTCTCTGTTTTCACATCTTGCCAAAGGAAAATTTTCTGAAATGGTATATTCAAGAATTTTTGAATGTTTGAAAATCATATATTCATCAAGAAGAGAAGGTATGTAGAGTTCAACATTAATATTTTAATGAGAGACAATATCGACATTTATTTTCAAGAAAACTTTATATTGTTAATTAAAATTAAAAAATTGTGTTTCCTTTGTAGATACAAATTTTGTAAAGCTTTTTTGTTTTGATAAAAGAACTGATTATGCTAAAATTAAAATATTGTCACATATCAAAGAATTTGTGTAGTCAGTTTTTATATTCCATGACTGCTCCCGAATTGCACACAAGAAGTTGATATACTCTCTTGAGTAGAAGCAACCAAAGGTCATCCAGGAAAAACTGGTTGCAAAATCCATTAAAGTCAAAAATCAAATTAAGAATATCTGAAATAATGCAGAACTGTAGAGTCAATAATAGTGAAGAGATTTTTCCACACAATGTGATTGTTTGCAGGGAGGAAGTTATAATGAGAAGGGTGGGATTCCTTGTATATTTTTTCTATCTTGAATTAATATATACATTTCATTAATGATCATCAGATGTTTGCTTCTCCTTGGTGATTTAGATATACTGATAATACAAATCAATGTTATTTTATTTAAAATTGGAAAAGTTTGTTTAGGAGTGAGAGAGGCACTTTTCTGTTTTTGATTGGTTCAAAGTATTTTGTGAAAACAATTTGCTAATGTTTTAGTGCTTTAGATTAAATATTTATGTATCAAGAGTTGGGCAGTATCAAGTATACTGGTATTTAAAATATGTATTTTTTATACTTTTTTATTTCGAATTTTGTATTGAAAAAACAAATTTGAATGTGCAATTCTTATTGTTATCAAAATAGTTTCGGATAGTATTTTGTATTTTCAAAATACAAAAATACTTTTTATTGATCCACCTTTGAAAATTTAAATTTAAATATTGTGTCAAATCTGAAAAACACAAATTTCGATAACACAAATTTTTGATGTTGCGAAGCAATTCTTCATTTCTTGCAGCAGTATTTGAAAGAATGTTTTTGATAAAACTAAATTTTGGTTATTCGAAGAAAATTTGTTACTGGAGGCACTTCGAGATATTGATTAATGGATTTTGGAGACCTCTTCCTAGATGTTATATTATATTGTCACATTATGCATCACCACCTGTCGGGGAGGTGGTAGTGCGCACTTGGTTGAAAGCTTAGGTTGGTGCATTGTAAAGAGCTAATCTTACGATATAAGTGTGGAAATTTGTAAATCATCAAAATATGCTATTCTAGATGAAATTTGTATGCTTGCCAGAAATACAATAATACGTGGTTCCTACCATGCTACCTCAAATTTTAAGACATGAATATTATGCTGGATTTCTTTGAAATATGAAATAACTTACTAAAATATGAACATTTTGATTATTTTGAGCAGTTAATATATAATGAAGGACAAATTTAATAGAATTAAGTAACTTTATGTGTATGTTTCTCTTTTATTACACCAATACACTTCATCAAAATACTTCTTTCAAGGTTGTTCGTGCTTGAGGCAACTGATGCATATTTTTATTGTTTTTGTAACTGAGTGTTCATTACATGTAAATAACGAACACTTACTGCAGCTTGTTCTTTCTCTTTCTATCTCTCATTCTAATCTCTGTTTGTAATAATTATTAAGGAATAAAAATTGGTGATTCAGAATACCAAGCAGTGTACAAATGAACACCAGAGCTTATTTTTAAGAAGAAAATGTAAGACACCTTAAAATATTATTTTAATTAAGATGTAATTGTCAATGGAAGTATTTTGGTCAATGTAACAAAATTTCAATATCACAACATAAGCGAAACGTATACGACAAGTAAAAATGTGAGATTAGGGTACATGTGTACCCTACTTGGTATGCAAAGGGTTAAAGCTAAAAATAATAATGCACACAATGTTGTACAATAGACTGAATTTCACTGGTAATTTTCTTTTTCTAGGGAACTGATAATTTCTTTACATGTTTTTGAGAATTTATCTTGGTGTGATGACTGAATATGGAAACTATAAAAATGAGTGGTCCAGAAGATCAAATTCACATAGGAGGAAAATGAACAGCACTGAGAATAGTGCTACTAATGCTCAGAAGTTAAAACAAACAAGCTTACACATCTGGTTTCTTCAATAAGCAGGAAAAAGGAAATGATCAAACAATTTTCTGTTTTTGATTGGTTAAGAAGCCGAATAAGGAAGTGAAAAGTGGCTCCAAACCAAACTGATATTCGCGATACTCATATGAAAGAGAATAAATACATGCTGTAGTTTCCAAAAGAAAACCAGCTTCCTAAGGCAGTTTATTCAAACTGTGAGGCACACCTCCACAAGGAGAGGCGAAAGTTTCTGTGGAGAGGCATGAGAACTTCGGATGTCAGACAAAATATAGATCAAGAATAAATCTCCAGAATGAGATGCGTACTGCCTTTTCTAAATTAGTGCCAAGATTTGATGAACTGTGACACCAAACAAGCCCATCCATCTCACTTTTCTGAACAATCAATATGTTTTTTTTAGAGTTTTCCTTGCAGTTTTCTTCATTTTGTGAACAAGTGCCTTTCTGCAAATGTGTTCCCCTCTGTGTGTTGGCTAGATAATCCTTGAATAGTAACATGGTAGAGGTTTTTTGTTGATGTATCAATAAGAGCAATAGGTTCTATATTTTTAAGA